ATTTGTCTGTACCGATATCAATCCCCTACGTCTGACACTCCAGAGGTGCGGTGGCCCCAGCTTCGGTCTGTAAACCGTGTCTTCTCTCTGCGCAACTGCTGCTGCCTAGACTGTTGAGTGGTTAGGAAGCAAAGAAACGTTTTTCATCAGCCAACATGTGTCCCTGTAATAGCAGTCGTCCTGGAGGACATATCACCTTTAACAAAAACTCAGCAATGGACCAGGTCAGTAATAATGCTCCAGCCAGCGCTGGCTGTGACTGCTACCTCCATCACCAGTGTTTAGATCCTGAAAGACCCATGGAGCAAGGTATGACCATGAGGCCATCTTCATGGTCTCCTTTCTCTTGAGTAGCTGTTAGCAACAGAATACTATGGTCTTTCAAATAAGTGTACTTGATAGGAGGCACCCAGCGGAAACTAGAAATTTTTCTCTTTGGGGTGACAGGGCAGCCCCCAGGTAGACGTGCAGAGGGTGGCTTGGAGAATCTCATCTGGGAAAGTATTTTGTTCTGAAAGACCACCCTGCCCCACACATGTCCCCTCTAGAAACAAGAGCCTAAAGCAAAAGAGAATAGGAAGTGCTTAGGGAGTCACTGTTAGTAGGGAAGTAGGGATAAACAATCTGCTTTGGCAATGGGGTTCTTTTCTCAACGTCTGCCTTCCTTTGCTCTTCAGGCACCTGACATTATGTAATCCATATGTGCCTTACCTACAGTCTCCTGAGAATCCATTAGAATTTTTACGGTAGATGGTATAAATTTATTCTGAAAGAGTTGATGCAAATTTTTCATATTGTGGACGGAGATCAAGCCTATAGTGAGCAGCCGCACCTGAGAAGATGTGATAGAATAATTGTCACTAGCCATGCTATTTGTAGATGCTGCCCTTGGTCACCTTAACAATGGGTGTTGTTCAGCTCAGGCCACTGTGTAAGTACCATGTGTGGCTTCTAAACAACAGAATGTATTTCTCCAATTCCAGTTCCGGAGACTGGAATGTCAAGTAATGCTTAACGATGAGATCAGGTCTTCTCCGAGGTTTCAGATAGCTAATTTCTCCGCATACTTGGTGGAAAGAGGCCAAGGCAGTTCCTGGGGTCTCTTAGAGAGTCACTGTTGTCTCGTGAGGGCTATACATGTATCAGTTCCTGAGACTCTCAAATTGGGAGCTAGGATTTCAATGGAGTAATGCAAACAAAGCCATTAACACTTGGTAAATAGAGTCACCCTCGCTTGTCAGAATGCTGTTTTTCAGAATTCCTGACCCTGTATGTTTCCGATTAGGATAAACCCAGGAGAAAATCTTTGGAGTGTTTAGAAGGTGAATGAGAGACAAGTGTCATTTCCATAACACACGGTCTGTTACCGTGTCACTGTGTTGGCATGAAGCACCATCGAATATGGTTCCCTGCTTACGTCCTCCAAAGCTCCTATGACCCTGGGCCTAACTACACGTGTTTATTTAGTTCTGGGATATATGGTCTGCCTTCTTAAGACACTCACCGAGGCTGGAGGCCACAAAATCCGACCTGAGTTTCTTTGTTCATGGCTATTCATGCTCATGGTTGTAGCTCATGGCTCTCGCTTTGTCTGCCTTTCACCTGCTCTGTGCAGACTCCCAGCTCCAGTGTCAGGGCAAAGATGAACAGTCTCACGAAGCTATGTTTACCAGCTGCCACAATTGCAAACGTCAGATTCCTGGGGGGGAAATGCAATACATCTCTGTTAGACACAATCTTCCAACTCTATAGCCCTAATTGAGCTTTAAGTGATACACCTCTGTCCCTCAAAAACTGCTTTTTTTTTTTAAACTATTATTTCATTCGTAGTTTGGGCAGTTTCTGGTGGACAGTTAAACTTAATATATCCTGTATCCCACCACCCTGAATGTCCCCAATTTCATCTAAATCCTACCCTATAGAATTCCATCCCTCAAAGAATGAAGTAACCCTTCCCTTTTTAATACTCAAGCAGCACTTCAGGTATAGCAAAAGCAAGGAATTGCAGCTTGCACAGACAAGAGAGAGCTGCTCGGTCCAGAGGGAGGCAGGAGAAAGCGGGACTGATGAAGGCAGTGGACACTGGGTCTGAATGGAAAAGAACAGCTGAAACACCTTCGGGGTTCCAGGAACACAAGAACTTTGCATGAACCTCAGGGTATCACTTTGCCCTGTAGAAGACACTGGTGGCTTCTGTGCCACCCACACCTAGAGCAGACAGCATGAGAGTTTGGAAATACGTTCCCAGTCTTCCTGGCTGCCCTGGGTGCCAGTGATTCAAAGCATTACTCATAATGTAAGAAATTATTAAAGATGACATTTCAAGAAATGTTGATTTGTCACCCAGACAACCTACGTGTGTCTTTCAAGTCTCCCGGTGTTCGGGGTAGGATTCTGAAGGCTGCAGAGACTTGGAATTCTGTTAGGAGGCAAGTGCAAAAGCAGGGTAGGAGGGAGCCATCTGTGAGAGCATCCCCATGGTCTCTGTTTATCATGGTCTCTGCTATGGCTGAGCCCTCAACTCACAGACTGTGAGGGAACACAGTTAATGCGGGAGGAACGAGAAGTCTTTCCCAGGGCACATTTGGCTTGGGTATCGTGTTGCTGACATGCAAGGGGTTACCCAGAAAGTGGAGACCTTTGAGAAGACAGATTCCACCTCAGCCTGCTGGTTGATTTCACCATTAGACATTTGCCTTAGCACATGGAAGATGCCAGTAATCACACTGACAGGTGGGAAACATAAATCCTAGCTGTCTTTCAAAAAACTCTTCCCCTAAAGTGGTACCTCTCCTTCTACCTCCATCATGTTTCTCTGTGTCCTTGTACATCATAGAAAGGCTCCCTCTCCCCAGTGTAGTCCAACTGCTTGGGAAGGCAGGGAGGTCTGTAAATGTTCTTTGAGGCGGGGTCTTATGTAGTCCAAGCTGGCCTTGGACTCCTGATCTTCCCACCTCCGCCTCGGATTCTGTGACTGCACACATGCACCATCACACCCAGCTCCTAATAGTCATCTTTAAAGAGAAATAGAATTTGGGCAAACTAGTAAATTTTTTTTAAGACTATGCAGTAGGTTTACTCTTATTAACAGCAGTTTTCCTAAAGTTGCATACATCTATGGGAATACTGTATGCAATGTACATTGGTAATTCAAAATAAAAATCATTCCCTTCTCTGACTCCATGTTTCTTCAGTTCATATCATTTAGCCCTGTTTAAAGCTTGTGCAAAGCTCTCAGGGTCTACAGCTGGGCAGGGCCATTGATTGACAGCTTTTCACTTGGAGCTTGCACAGCACCTTCTGACACTGTAAGCACCGGTCCTCAAGGAGAAGGCTTCCAGACCAGAACCAGATTGAGTCCTCCTCCTCCTCCGACTTAAGTGTGTAGTCTTCAGCGATAGAGTTTTAATTTCTGGGAGGTAACCAAAGGCAGCAATAGTCTATATTTTGGGGGGATTATCATGGACCCTCTAGGGAGCATCCTTTTGTGTGAGATTACATATCTTATAAAAGAAATGGTTTCCCTCCAGCTTTTTCAAATATATTTAGTGTCATTTCTTCTTCCTTCTGTTTTACCCTCTCTCCTCCATCCCTTCTCCCCAGCTCGTCCCCTCTTCATAGCACCTATGTCCTGCTAGCCTCAGATTACACACACATACACACATTACATTGTGCAATTTGGATTGTCAAGACTTAGAACTATTTGGAAGGCAAGTCTCTGGGCACGTCTGTAAAGATGTTTCCAGAAGGTTTCGCTGAACATGGAAGATTCACCTTGAATGTGGTCCACACTCTCCCATGGTTCAGCATTCATCCCTCTCTGCCTCTGAACTCTTGACACAGTATCCAGCTGCCATCTGGTCCTGCAGCCATGGCTATACCCATTGTCACTGCCAAGCCATAGCAGACTGAACCCTCAAACTGTGAGCCACAAGAAAGCCTGCCTGCCTGCCTTCCTATCTAAATAAATGTATAAGGAGCTATTTCCAGCTCTGGTCACTGAGTGTAGCACACTAGGACCCACTTTGACACCAGTTGTGTGGCCTTCCTCTGCTCTCCCTAAGCCCCGCCGCCTATGACAGACACACACACACACACACACACACTGCTGTGCTCCTCTCCACTTCTGTGATTTCAGCTTTTTGGCATCCGTGTATAAATGAGAACCAAAGTGATCTTGGCGCCTCTTTTTTGTCTATTCCAGGTCTCCTTCCTCCTGCTGTGCTGGAATTTTTTTTGAAAAGCCGTACCCACAGCTCTTTGCCTATATTAAACACGATTCTAAATGAGCCATCTTCCGACTATAAACACCAGGCTGGTGGCCCCAGAGCTGCTTTCTTCAAAGCAAAAGTAGCAATTAGCTTTCATTGTCCCTCCCCCAAAAAGACAGAAAGTAGCTACTTGTATGTGATACTATTAACATTTCAAAGGTTTTTGGTTTTTATGATTCATTATTCTTAGTTATGTGTCTGTGTCTGTGTATGGGTTTGTGCACACGGGTGCAGTGATCTTGGAGGCCAGCAGAGGGCGCTGGATCCTGGGGTTACAGGCACTTGAGACCTACATGGGTGCTGGAAACTGAACTCTTGTCCTCCTGCAGATCCTCACTGACTCACACACCTAGCCACGAAGTCGTGTCTTCAGCCCCACAGATTTTTCTTAAGTGCTGCTTTTATGTACAACACAACTAGAAGATACAGCAATACCAGGGTTATAAAAAGAAAGGGAGTTTGGACATGGAAAAATACTTCTAAGGAAGATGATCATTTTAATAACTGCCCTTGGGGTGTTCAAATGAGGGTGAATTAGCAATTAGATAAATCCTGAGAATTGCAGCACAGTGGGGCTTAAATTTCCCTTTCAATATCACAGTTTTGTTCAAAACTGAATCCACATGATTGCAGCTATAAATTTTTTGACATGCTCTCGCAGCTGTGTACAGCTGACCCGCACAGAGATGCCACTCTGAGACAGCCCCTTCTCTGTCCTTGTCTCCACAGCGCGAATCTGTCCAAAGCCGCCTGGGGAGCACTGGAGAAGAATGGCACCCAGCTGATGATCCGTTCCTATGAGCTCGGCGTCCTCTTCCTTCCGGCGGCATTTGTGAGTCACACGTCACCTCCTCCTTGGTCACGCGTGTTATGAATGTGTCTTCTGTGTGTTCTCTCCCTCTGGTCACACTGTGAGCCCAGCATTGTCTGGTCGCAGGGTCAGGGTTCTAATCCAAAACCCATGCTTTTAACATGGGTTACCTACATGAATAGAGGTTGAAAGGCGAGGTTAATAACCACGTTCAAATAACTACTGTAAGCATGATGGAAAGGTGTCGGAGCCTGTAGGGCCCAACATAGAAACTATCTTTCCCCATTCTGACCTGTACGGAGGCGCGAGAAAATAACGAGACACAGTTCACACAATCATGATGGAAGGGCATCTCAGGCTTCCTCCATCCTGAAGAACTACCCGCGTTTATTCTCCAAAACACCTTTTAACCCCCAGGTAAACCAAGGTGGATGCGGAGCTAGGGAAGCACCTGCAACTTAATTCACCAGCTTTGGAAAACACCTCTCCCCAGGTGATCTACATTTTAACAAAGGAGGAGGAGCAATACATCCTGGACTTTGTTAGGTGGCTGTCTTGCATGTTTAGCAGGATTACAGCTGCCTAGTGGCCAGTGAGCCTGCCTGTAAATTATCTTACATGAAATATGGGCCCTCAGAAAGGATAAGTTAGTTACCAAAGGAGTAGCCCAGCCAAGCATGGACTATGGGGGTGGGGGGTGAAGGGACAGTGGGGGGGGGGGGGGAATGATGAGGGTTTAGAGTATGGGGAGAGGTTGGAAGACACACCTGGAAAGGAATTGGCAGTAGCAAAGCTGGGAGGAAAGAGTTCTGGGTTTAGCTGAGGACACATGGCAGGGAGCACCCAGAAATGCTCCATGTTGGAAGCAGTCTCTCAAGATGTCCAGTACATCAGCTCCACGGCAGCTTTGAAATGGCTAACAGCTTCTACAGCCAAACGCCAGATGAAGTCTCTGCTGTGCCTGTGGGGACCAGGTGGCCTGAGCCGTATGTTTCACTACTCAGTAGATTCATACTTTCAGAGACTCATTTCCTGAGGCCCCAGGACCTGCATACACACATATGCGTGCACACGCGCGCGCACACACACACACACACACACACACACAGTGGACACACTCTTGATCGTGGCATATGGTCAGGGTTGTCTGCACAGGGAAGTGGCTAATTCCACTCTCCACTTCCTTTCTTACTGCTTGTTGTAGTTTTAGGATAGGTCCCTTGTGAACTGCTCTGGCAAGACTAGGTTTAACTAAGGGGGCACCATGAGCTTGGCCATAGACGTCAGTCAGCACATGAGCTGTAATGGATGCACACTCTCACAGCGTGCTACAAAGCACCTCTTTCTTAGCACGTCCAGCAGGACCCTCTCTTTCTCCCCCACCCCTTACCCCCGGAGAGCAGCTCTTGCCCCCTCTCTCCTACGCTTACCAGTCTTTACTAGTCTTTTTCCACACCAGGAGCTTCAAGGGCCACTCTAAGCTACTGCCATCCTAAACTGCTGTCATAAGGTTTTGGCTACTCTTTCCTCCTGAGTAAACACCCCTGGAACAGCTGGATTCCAGCATCAGAGCCTCAGAAAGGACAAAGAGGTGATGTCCCTGAGGTCCCACGGCTATCGTAGGGTCTAGCCCTGAGGTTGCTGTCTTCTGCCTGCAGTCTGTGCCCTTTTACTTCTGTCACGTGTCTGGGCAATGGAAAGTTTGTGGTACTCGACTTCAGTGCTCAGATATTTGCTGTGGTGATGGGGACTGGCTTCCATCTAGGTAAGAACATCCCTGTCCCAGCATCAGCTCATCCAGTTAGTTTCATGTACCCTTCAGTGAATCATAAAAGGCTGGGCACATGTTAAAGGTCAGCATTGCCAGAAATACACAGAAGCATTTGACCTTCATTCCCAGGGAGCTCAAGCTCAGTCAGACACCCTGGTCAGTAAGATACATATCCCAGGTATGAGCTGAGGGCCAGACCATGAGGGTAGCATGTAGCTGAGTAAGCAGAAATTCGGGCTATAGTGTTGTGTTTTATAGAAATAAGGTTAATCCTACAAAAGGGAGGAATCAAAAAAGATGCCGAAGAAAACCGTGGAATAAAAGGAGTGACTTATAATTCAGACTTGTCAGAAGGGAGGGGCCCTTCTCTCTGGCTGCTGCCGCCAGTGGACTCCTACTCAGTGAAGACCACTCTGCAAGACTTTCTGCTTCTCGGGCTTCTGTCTGCCTTTCTCATCTGGGCTCTTTTGGTGCATCCTCCAGTCATGGGCCTGTCTCCAGAGAAGGGTACTGTGAATTTAAAGCCAGAAATGGATTTCCAGAGCGCCTCACCCGACAGTTAGCTGCCCCAGGCCTCGTCAGTCTATGGGATGTGGTGTTTGGCTTCTTAATAGAGGAAGAGCCTGTATCCGGGTCCTGTGTGGCCTGCTGTAAAGGGAAGATTCTGAAAAGGCAGCAGAAGTGCTGCCTGTGGTGTTGACTGAGGGAAGCCAGCAAGCACACAGACTCAGGAAATTCGCCCATCTTTGAAAGAGAGGTATGCCACGGAAGTGCTCAGTTCCCTCCTCGAAGCCCACTGCAGGCTTGGAGCTGAACATTCCATGCCCCAGGAATGACCTCATCAACGCCAGCTCAGGTCCACAAGCACCCGAGGCCTCCCCTATGGTGGGCCCTGGGGAAAGAGTGAGAGCGGCTATGGCCCTCGTTCTCAGGAACCTCAAGGGTACATCGAGATACACAGACACCAACTCCACAGCATGGGATAAGAAGCATGCTCTGGAATGTTTCCAGATAGGAGTCCTGGCGGGCGGGAGCTCTGCTGGGGACCTGAGAAAGCTGTGAGGAGTTTCCTCCGTGTGGTCCTTGAGAAGCAAGTGCTCAGCCCAGTTTCGGGCAGAAGCTTACAGAGAAATATATTATAGTCAAGGAAAACTACTGTTTTCTGTGTGCTGGGGCTGCGAGGTGAGCATGGGAGCTAGGGCCTGGAATCCTGATCTAGGGTTGCAGGGCAGGACTTGCTGGGAGGGACTGTGTCCCACCTGGACAGTGGAAAGACAATCTGTGTCACAAGCCAATTGAATCTTAGAAAGCGTAATTTTTAAATTATGGATTATCACTTATATTATTCAGAAGGTACTTGAGGATATGTGGCATTTGCAAATGTCATCAAAATCAGCTTAATCATTTAAAGGACACTAGCCAGACGGTCTAATTGCTAATGACTTACTGTTACTGGTCGCCCCACTTGCCTGCTTTGAAGCATGAGAAATGCCCATGGCAACCCTTTCTCCCCATAGCTTTTAATCACTGGCTCCTGTCGTTCCTAACTACTCAGTGCTGCTTATATTGTCACCTCTGGTCATCCTGCAGCCACTGTGGCCACAGGGCGCCAGCAGTTTACATCAGTCTGCTGCCCTCCCGGAGCCCGTCTGCAGGCGTCACCCCATCCTGCCGCCAGACGGTCTCCACCGACCACCAGCCTGCTGGCGCTGCCTCCTTAGCAGCTGCCCAAACCACACTTCCCTCTCCTTCTGGCACTTCTATTCATTTAGTTATTTGGTTATTTTATGTGTATGAGTGTTTGCCTGAATATCTATCTGTGTACCATGTGTTTGCCTGGTGCCCATGGAGGCCAGAAGAGGGTGCCAGTTCCCCTGGAACTGGAATTGCAGACGGTTGTAAGCCTTCCTGCGGTTGTTAGAAATCAAACTGGGGTCCTCTGGAAGAGCAGCAAGTGCCCTTAACTTCTGAGCTCTCTCTCTCCAGCCCCTCCTGGCACTTGTTTCTACCATGCAGAACCCATGAATCTTACTAGGCTCTTCCTTCTAGCCAAGCTTAATCCATATCAGAAGGCAGCTTCATGTCTCCAACACTACCTTTTGCGGCTGTCCCCTGTAGATGCTCTTTTCTCTGCATCCCACTGCTTCCTGGAGCCTGGGCTCCCTGCATATCCCACTCTCCCTTGCTAGACTGAGAGCTGCTCCTCCGTGGGCATGTGGAGACTCTGGGAAGGTGGTCATTAGTTGATGCTGATACCTTGGGCTTCTGGAGTTTGTACTCTTCTCTGAGCAGCTAGAACAGAAGCATACACCACAGCGTCTGTGGAGACTAAGCTTAGTGTAGGGACACTGTGTATACTTCGGTCACCACAATCTTGGTAAGCAGTTCGAACTGTGGATGAGCTCACTTGGAGCATCTCGTTGAAGTTTGCATGCATGCACACACTTCCCTAAGTATATGTGTGTGCAACTTCAACAATAACAATTATCACTACAAAGGACAATACAGTATCAATCCCTGTGTATTCATTTAATAAATGTCCTAAGGATGTTTGTGTTGATACTAACTTTACAATGTTCACCAACAAGACCACAGCTTGTTGTGAAATGAGGTCAGAAGCTACATCTTAGTGTCCCCGATTTGGTGCTAGTGAGACACACCTCAATGCAGTTCATCCTATGATTGCTGGAGATTTATCTCATCCAGAGTCCTTTAGTCAGCCTGCTGACTGGACGCCAGCCAGATCTGCCCTCCCCAACAGTGTCCTTTGTGCTCCTGGGCAAAGCTCCGTATCCATGCCCCCAGGTTTCTGAGTCATCAGCACCCAGAGGTGCTACTTTTGTCCTTCCCCAGTGAGCCATTGCAGTCCCTGTAGCCTGCTTGCTGACTTGAGACCAGCATTACAAACAGGAGTGTATGGCGTCCAACAAGCAGAGATTGTTGCTAGGGGTTCTCCACTTTCCCACAGCTGTGACAAGACCTGCCATCCAGTAATTAGTAACTGACCATACGACTTAGCACTCCTAGGACCCCAAAACTATAGTGGGTGGAGGGCCAGCATGCCTTATGTGCAGTAAAAATACCATTGGCAGCTTTAAATTTATTTATTTTTATTTTATGTGCGTTGGTATTTTGCCTGCATGTACACCTGTGTGAGGGAGCCAGATGCCCTGGAACTAGAGCTACAGTTGTGAGCTGCCATGTGGTGTTGACAGAGGTTTCTGTCCTACCCAGTCCTGCAGTCATTCAGTCCCAAAGAAATCACACAGAGGTCTGCATTAATTATAAGCTGATTGGTCTATTAGCTCAGGCTTCTTATTAACTCTTACAGCTTATATTGGCCCATAATTCTTGTGTGTGTTAGCCACGTGGCTTGGTACATTTTTCAGCGAGGCAGTCACATCCTGCATCCTCTGTGTCTGGGTGACGACTGCAGACTGAAACTTCCCTCTTCCCAGAATTCTTGTTTCCCTGCCTCCACTTCCTGCCTGGTTACTGGCCAATCAGCGTTTATTTAAAACACATGTGACAGGGTACAGGTCCTCTGGAAGAGCAGTCAGTGCTCCTAACCACTGAACCATCTCTCCAGCCCCACTGGTACCTTTAGAATTGATCTAGAACATGTGTTCTCAACTTGAGGGTCATAATCCCTTTTGGGGATGTCAAATTACCCTTTCACAGAAGTCACATATCAAATATTTACATTGCAATTCATAGCTGTAGCAAAATTATAGTTACGAAATAGCAATGAAATGATTTTATGGTTGGGGGTCGCCCCAACATGAGGAATTAATATTAAAGGGTCACAACATTAAGAAGGTTGAGAACCACTGTTCTAGATGAAGATAACATGTTTTGCCCTTAGCTGAACAGAAAACCATCCTAGCCTCTTCTGAGCCCCAGGTTCATTTGCTTCTGAGGCAATAGGTTCCCACTTTTCTGTAGTAAGAATTGGAAAAAAAAAAAAGAAGAAGAAGAAGAAGAATCAAATCAGAAAGTCTTAACTTTGATCGTCAAGGCTGCTTTCTCCCTTCTCTGATTTGGTTAAATTATTGTTGTTGTTGCTGCTGCTGTTCTCAAACATGGCACAAGCAAATGATCCCTTCTCAGACAATCTCACCGTCAGTCTGGTAGATGCCACCAAGACTGTGGTTGTTGGGCTGGAAGATAAATTTACAAGCACTGTGCTTGCGCCCTCCTCTTTGTCTCTCCACACACTGGCCCTGCCCACGTGGCTCTGTCCACAGAGCTTGGGCCCCCACAGTTTCCCAGGAGGCCACGGCTGGGCACGTGCTCCACGTCGCATTTCTCAGATCCTCTTAAATCCTGCCATACCAGTCAGTCCCGCTGAAAGAATGAGGAAGGAAACAGACTGGAGCAATGCATTGTAGAAATGCCCGATAACCAAGAAAAGAACTCTCCAGGGCTTTCAGCCAGATCACCGTCTTGATGCCAACCCTCTGATGTTGCATGGATCCTCTTCGCCCCAAGCTGCTTTCACAGACAGCCCTTTAGCTACCGAAGCCCTGTTGGTATGCCCACTCTGTGAGCTTTCCCCAAGCCCTAGCTGCAAGCATCTGGGGATTGGGGTAGGAAAGGCCACTCCCTCTCTGTGATTTCCTTCCTTAACCAATTAGCCTACCTGATAAAGTAGACTTGCTCCTGGCAAACTCAGCTGCTATCCCAGGAAAACCCAGTACCTTGGCTCTCTGTGCGTTCAAGGCCAACCTTGTCTATATAAAAACTTCTGTCAGGCAGGACTACACAGTGAGATCCTGTCTTAAGGAAACAAACAAAACAGTGTATCACATAGTTTTGCACACAAGGTTGCTCTACAAGCACGTGCCGCTAACACAGTAAGCCCCATCTGCGACTGTGAGCTGAGCGGACTTCTTTCTGACTGAGTCAAACCGCCGAGCCTAAATGATCCCAGCAGTAACTAGTGCTTTCACTCCCGGCTGAGGGGGTGGGGGAGCCCGCAATTTGTCATATGTGATTCATGTCCACCCTCTCACCTGGTGTTTCACAGATGCATTGTCTTAGCTGTCTTAAGTATCTGCGCCTGGGAGGGTGCCTTCCTCTGTTTTGTAAAATGCCAAGCAATACCACTGTGATATATAAATAATGATAATTAGAAGACAGCCTCAAATAATTTGACATGCAGATTGAAGGGAAAAGTGGTACTTTTTTCTTAATACCCTAGAATTTGAATCCGAGATGGCATTCAAGCAAAAAGCATATTGGTTCTTGTCAGACATGGATGGTTCAAACGTTCTTATGTCTGAGGTCAGACTTTGGAAGAGGCAAGCCAGGCTTGGAGCGCATAGGGCATCCAAACTGGGTCGAGGCCATAAAGACTCTCCCACGGCTTTGTGGCTGACAAAGATGATGGTGAGTCTAGGAGATATAGCTCTCACACTTGCAAGAGTTTCCGTTTTTCTGGTTCTTGGTGGCAAATATAAGATCGAGTCTTTGGGTAGTGGAAAGAGCATAGGACCACAAATTCCAAAGACGGGCTGTGGACAGCTATGCAAGCTGGTCACTGTCACGGAGCACACCAGCTGTCACAGTTAGACTCACTCGTTCCTATTCCCTGCATCGTTCTCATGGAGTTCTAATACTGTGTCTCCCATCACCAAGTCCACCTCCTGTTTCTGTCGGGAGAACCCATGATCGCCTGGCTGAGCAATCTCCAGTCCATTACCTAAGCCGTTCCAGCTACCCCACCAATGAGGCATCTCCTTTAAAGCCTCAGCAGCTCCTTACTGTCTGCTGATGAGAAAGTCAGACTTCAGCTGGACCCCCGAGGGACTATTGGGTGTGAGCGATGGGCAGTCAACTCAAACAAGAATAAGGAACAAGGTTGAGCATAGATGGTGAGCACTTTGCTTCTCGGCAGGGCTTGAAGTCAAGAGCTCAAGCCGTATCTTCAGTGTTCAGACATCTCCAGCTGATGGACACGAGGGCTGCCAGCAACAAGACATCTCCATCTCCCCCAACACCTCCAGGCTGACTCATGCCTGAGTCACTAATAACAACATAACATACCTGGCTTAACAGGGACAAAGCACAGATGTCCACATCTCCCCTCATGTAGAGAAGTGTTCCTACACACACACACACACACACACACACACGCACGCACTCAGCACCTGAAATGTGCCATCTCTGAGCTCTTCCAACCCACGCTTGAATGTATTGCTGTCTCCCCTGATACTCTTCCTTGCCATGGTTGTTTGTCAAAACCCACCTCAAACAGTATTTTCTACAAAGCCTCTCGTTAGCCTGCCACAGAAGTGAGTCACTCTTCCTTTTCTGTGTAGCATCTCTGCCGGGTCTGTGTCGCACACTGCCTTCCACTATCAGCATCTCTGCCACTGCTATAACCTCGTACCTGCCTGCAGGCCCTCATGGCTTCTGTTCCGGCGGTGCTGATGATCGAACCCAGGGCATTGGACATGTGAGGAAGCTTCTCTCCCACTGAGCTGCATCTCCAGCTCTCTTCTGCGGTTCTTAATGTGCACGAGACACTTTCCCGTGTGTTACCACAGCTGCTGTTCTGCAGAAGCCAATAAAGCAGGCAGGGCAAGCACTCTAATCTCGTGCCTGCAGCTCAGTGTTTCTTGAATGCCCACTGTGCCGCAGGACTTGTTCTAGGGACTGAAGGTTGAAACGCTGCACAGGTTGGTTGACGTCAGCCTGACACAGGCTAGAGTCGTCTGGGAAGAGGGAACCTCAACTGAGAAAATGCCTCCACCAGTTTGGCCTAAAGCCAAGTCTGTGGGGCGTTTTCCTAACTAATGATTGCTGATGTAGGGCCCAGCCCGCTGTGGGTGCTACAAACCCTAGGCAGGTGGTCCTGGGGTGTATAAGGAAACAGGCTAAGAAGCCACGGAAACAAGCCAGTGAGCAGCCTCCTACTCATGGCCTCTACTTCAGTTCCTGCCTCTAAGTCCCTGACCTGATTTCCTGCCCTGACTCACCTCATGATAAACTGTGCGCTATTAGATGGAATAAACTTTTTCTTTTATATTCCTGTGCTTCTACTTCTTCCTCCAGAGCAGGCAATCTATTACTATAGCAGTATTGGGATGTGGGAAGTCCTTCTGCATATGTGTTGCTTTTATTGGTTGATGAATAAAGCTGTTTCGGCCAATAGCTTAGCAGAGTAAAGCCAGGCAGAAATCAGAACAGAGAGAGAGAGAGTAGGTGGAGTCAAAGAGATGCTTTGTAGGAGAAAAATGTCAGAACCTTACCAGTAGGCCACAGCCTCATGGTGATACATAGATTAGTGGAAATGTGTTAATTTAAGATATAAGAGCTACCTAAGAAGACACTCGAGCCGTTGGCCAATCAGTGTTGTAATTAATATAGTTTCTGCATGATTATTTGGGTCAGGGCGGCAGGGAAATGAACAAGCAGTCTCCGCTTACAATATTGAAAGTATTCTGGGATGTTTTCATCCAGGGAGTCCTGTAAACCCCCTGCCAACTATATGTGGTACTTGGTAGAAACTGGCCCACACCCATTACTGTTTCTCTTGTTTCCTGTGTGCCTTGTTAAACTCACAGGTTTTTAACTTCATTCTTACATGCAGAGAAAATAATTTAGGGGGAAGGGTTATAGAGCATTCTTGCCTAGCCAGTGTTGAAAATAGCTCTGAAATCACTTAATATCCTTGTGGGTATCATAAAGAGAAATTACTTCTTAGGATCTTCTAGCTGATATAGAAAAAAAAGATTCAGTCATATCCTCGCTCTGTGTGCCTGCAGGGCCTGGACACCTTCAATGTGAAGCAGAAATTCTTCTCCAGCAGCTGTGAGCCAATGACCTCCTTTCCTGTGCCCTATGACCTGCCCCCGGAGCTCTATGGGAGTAAAGGTGAGATGCGGATGAAGGGACACAGGCCAGTGTGCCACACTGGCAGAAAGTAAGCCAGGAGGTGCCCCTGGTCTCCGTGTGAGCCTGGCTCCTGGGAACCTCTGGAAGTTCAGACCTGAGAGGATTCTTACTTCCCTCTCTGGGGCCACTCGGGCCATGTGGTTCTTAAGCTGCTCACTCTGAGAACCCGTTTGCACTCAGTTATCAAGAATCCTAAAGAGCTTTATGTGAGCTTCGTGTGTGTGTGTGTGTGTGTGTGCGCGCACGCGCGTGCACGCGCGCGTGCTTGCACGTGTGTTCACTATAATGGAAACAAAACTGGAAAATGGTAGTGGCGCACGCCTTTAATCCCAGCATTCGGAAGGCAGAGGCAGGCGGATCTCTGTGAGTTCAAGGCCATCCTGCTCTACACCGCAAAACTAGAAAGTGTTTAAATAGGTGTTGATTTATTAGTTTTAAAATAATAAGCCCTTGTGTTATGTTTCATGGCCAGCTCCAAAACCAAGGAAAAACTTGGCGGGGGGGGGGGTGAGATCATCTCATGTTTTCAAAAGCATCTTTAGTGTGCAGCTTAACAGCTGACTGCTGAGCCCTCTCCGCTGCTGTCACTTGGTCTGTTGTGATGTCACTGCGTATGTAGCTCTACACACTAACATAAAAGTGAGGATAGCATGATGGTATTATGTCACTGTGAAGTAAATTTGATTCACAGGCACACCCCCAAGAGAGGTCACTAGGCCACACTTTGAAACCTGCCGCACTGGACTCTTAACTTTCCTAGAGGTTATGACTAGGTATACTTCCCAGTAGAAAAGCCATAGGACTGTCTACAGCAGCAGTTCTCAACCTGTGGGTCATGACTCCCTCGATACCCTGCATATCAGATATGTACATTACGATTCATAACAGTGACAAAATTACAGTTATGAAGTAGCAGTGAAATGATTTTTATGGTTGGGGTCACCACAGCGTGAGGAATTAAAAGGGTCACAGCATTAGAAAGGTTGAGAACCACTGGTCTATGGGGTCAGACATCTTCCTCCAGGCAGGCGTCATCCCAGGCTGCTGAGCATCCATTATAGGCTGCTGAGCAGCTGTTGTCACCCCAGGAATATTAGTCTTTGTGGTGGGCCCAGGGTGGTAGAGATGTACAGTTTCTAACTTCAAATGCAAGTGCTTACTATCCAGTCATAGCTTAGATCCTCTGGGAAACAGATGTCTCCGAGAGCGGCCAGGAATGTGCAGATGTGCGAAGTCTGAGCAGGGAAGGTTTTAATGACATCACTCCATCAGTAGTCCTCAGTCTTCAGTTCCTCGATGGCGTCCAGGCAGCCTGTCTTCCCACAGCACTGCCAGCTGGGTCTGGCAAATTCTCCGCCCTCTATCTCCCTTTGGGACTTTCTTGGTAAACCGAAACTCCCCATCTAGTGGACCCCTTTCTCAGGATTGTGTCGACATATGCAGACAAAGACCTGTGTCCTGCTGCCAGCATGCTGTCCTGCAGCCTGCAGGTGGCATTGCCTCTCTCTAGCTGTTTACAGTTACGAGGATGACTCGTCTGTTGAGCGTGCAGAGTTTGTCATCCACATTCATCCTAACAGCAAGGTTACATAGCTTTTAACCAGGATTTTACAGAGTGTGACCACCTTAGCCTCCACCGAAATAAAACTTAAAAGGGGAGGGCATGATTCAGAATAACTTACTTATGTGCCAACTGCCCAGCTTACTAGGTGGCCTTGGGCAGTTGACTTTTAGATCTGTGTCTAAAGGCAAAATGGGGAATGCCAGTGTCTCTTGCGGGGCTATTGAGAAAACTAACCAAGATGAAGTCTGTCCAGTGCTTAGCACGGTCCCTAGTTCAGCCAACAGTCAATAGACATTGGCTGGGTTTATTGTAACCGTCTTTATTGCAAGGTTAGTCTAGTCCCGTGCACACTGGACAGTGAACTACTGTGACCCCCACCCCTGTCCTTCCTGAACAGCGGCTTTCATGCTACATTTCCATCTTTCCTCTCTCTTTTCTTCATCTCCACTCTCTTTTCTCTTAAGTCATTGAGTTCTAGAGAAGAATGGCCTAGGACAGTGGCTTTGGGTCTTGCCTGCTAGAGTCTGACTCTGAGCCCTGCCTTCCCCAGCCGTGGCTGGATTCCAGCCCCATCCAGTAGTCCTTGTCTCCAGAGGAGCAGGAAAACAAGAATGGGAGAGATCATGAGCCAGAAAATGCCATGCAGTCCCTTCCCCTCTGTTAGGAACAACTCCTAACAACTCACAAGTTTGTCCGTGGTAGGCATTATCCTAGACTGCAGGAAGTTAGGTCTCCATCATGACCAGTGAGTAGACCGCTTTATACAGTAATTTGTTGAATTTTTGTTTCTTAGGCTTTTTCTTTGAAAGATACTTTAAAAGAAATTGGAACATTGTGTTTTATCAGTATTATTTTATCTCCTGCATTCCTTCGGCAGTGTGTAGAATAATGCTGGTAATTCAGATATTACCTTTCGAATCCAGCCACTGTTCTATAGCCGTGACCCGTACAGAGGTGTTTCACTGAGGCAAGGGAAAATGGGTTGTTAAGACCATTTCAAAAGCACTTCATGTTTAAAAGTGATTTTTGAACCATGGCAACACACACAATGTCTGATGCCATTTTTTTAAAAATCAGAGGTTCACACAAAGAGCTTACTTAGTGTAGGAGCATCCCACTGTGAAAACTTGGCCAGATATTATCTTGGAACAAAGGAAATGATCAGAGAAAATGACAAAAGTTAACACTCGAGTTCCGGGGTTCCTTGCTTTGGGTGGCCGTTGGCAGTTCTCTACGGTTACATAACAACAGACCTACTGTGTGTGAGCACCACTACTTGAACTTTGGCTGAAAGGGCAGATGAGTCCTCACCCTCATCACATTTAGCTTACTCGTTTGAAAAGTGTGTTTAGAAAAATGCATTTTAATAATAGAAATGGTGTTTGTAAAATTATTCCCTCCTTCCCGTGCCAGGGTTGGAACTCAGGGCTAGCATGTGTGGGGCAAGTTCTCTGCTACTGAGCCACACACCCAGCTCTGTAGGTTTTTTAATCTTTATACAATTGTACATTTTTGTTGAACTTCTCCTATTCCTTCCCCCTTCTAATCCCCCCAACTCCCATTAGTTCCTTTTGTGTCCCCAGACTGCTTCTTTTCTCCCTGGTATAAAGGGTGTGATATGTATATATAAAAATCTAGGAGCCAAATGAAAGAAAGCGTATTTGTCTTTCTGAGACTGGCTTGATTCTCTTGACATAATTCCCTTTTCCTGCAGCCAGCATAACCTCATTTGTGTTAGTGGCTGAAATGTTTCTAGTGTGTGTGTGTGTGTGTGTGTGTGTGTGTGTGTGTGTGTGTGTGTATGAGACAGAGAGAGAGAGAGAGACATTCTCTGTACCCATTCCTCTGTGGGTAGACACCTGGTTGGTTCTGTAACTGAGCCACTCTGAATGCTGCAGTGTCCTGGTGTACAGCAGTCTCTGCGATGTGTGGTGGGGTCCTTCGGGGAAACCAGCCAGGAGCAGTGTAGCTGGGTCATACGGTAGATCTCTTTGTGGGTTTGTGAGACACTTCTTTATCTGGGCTAGTTTACATTCCCACCAGCAGTGTAACATACAAAGTGCTGGCAAGGATGTGTGTAAAGGGAACCCTTAGTCTCCTTGGGAACAAATCACCAGCCCCTTAAAACATGGCAGTGCCGTCTATCCCATTGCTGACCTTGAGTCTGAAGAGAACGCAAAACGGTTACCGTACCATCTCTGCTGTGATATTCTTTGTATCAATCATATATGAAAGAGCAAAGTGTGAGAAAGTTGGAGAAAAGCCTGTCTTGCTTTGACCTAATAGTGCTGAAAGCCAGAGATGTGCCTCAGTTTGATGTTAGGGTGTGTGTATGAGCCCCTGCGGCTGGGTCCTCAGTTCCACGTTAGGGTGTGTGTGTGAGCCCCTGCGGCTGGGTCCTCAGTTCCATGTTAGGGTGTATGTATGAGCCCCTGGGGCTGGGTCCTCAGTTCCATGTTAGGGTGTGTGTATGAGCCCCTGGGGCTGGGTCCTCAGTTCCATGTTAGGGTGTGTGTATGAGCCCCTGGGGCTGGGTCCTCAGCACTGGAAGGAACAAAGAAAAAGAAGAAAGAGAAGCATAGTGGTAAGGGGAGGCTCATGTTGCATTTAAGGAGTAGGTAGGTAAGCATGCAAAGCTTCTAAGACACTCATTGTAATAGTCGCTTTTTTGAGAAATTCATATATAAGAAAACTTATTGAAACCATTTCCACCCCTCGATCTTCCTGCCCCTCTCCCACAACCCCTCTAAGTTCATGACCTCTTCTGTAATTATTAGTTACACACACTCGCTCACTACTGAGTCGAGTTAGCGTTGTCTGGATGTACATGATGTTTAAGGATTAGGAAATCTGTTAGGAGGGCTTATCCCTGGAGAAACCAATTCCCCTCCCTCCTCACTCCCTTGCCATTGCCTCGTTGTCATCAGTCATTGCCCATATTGTTTTGGAGACCTCCTGGACCCCTCTGACGACAACTCAATGGATGGTGTCCCTTGCCTGGCACTGGGGTTGTCAGATAGCCTGTGGTTCCTGGAGGGAACGTTATCACCCTGTGCCAGGTAACTCCATTTAAACTGTGTGTGTGCGTGTATGTGTCCATCCATGTCTATGTGTGTGTGCTGTATATAAACTGTATTATGCACACATGCTTGTAATTTTAAGTAAGCTTATAAAATAATATGTCTCCTTACGGCTTTGTCAAACACCCTTGGATAATTATCCCTCCTTCCTCGCTCTCCCCTTGCCCTGCCATCCACGTCCCTTTCCTCCATCACACCTGTGCCCTCCACGTCACTTTCCTCCATCACACCTGTGCCCTCCACGTCACTTTCCTCCATCACACCTCTGCCCTCCACGTCCCTTTCCGCCATCACACCTCTGCCCTCCACATCCCTTTCCTCCATCACACCTCTGCCCTCCACGTCACTTTCCTCCATCACACCTCTGCCCTCCACGTCCCTTTCCTCCATCACACCCGTGCCCCCCACGTCCCTTTCCTCCATCACACCTCTGCCCTCCACGTCCCTTTCCTCCATCACACCCGTGCCCCCCACGTCCCTTTCCTCCATCACACCCGTGCCCCCCACGTCCCTTTCCTCCATCACACCTCTGCCCTCCACTCCCCCTTTCCTCCATCACACCTCTGCCCTCCACGTCCCCTTTCCTCCATCACACCCGTGCCCCCCACGTCCCTTTCCTCCATCACACCCGTGCCCCCCACGTCCCTTTCCTCCATCACACCTCTGCCCTCCACGTCCCCTTTCCTCCATCACACCTGTGCCCTCCACCTCCCCTTTCCGCCATCACACCTCTGCCCTCCATTCCCCCTTTCCGCCATCACACCTGTGCCCTCCACTCCCCCTTTCCTCCATCACACCTCTGCCCTCCACGTCCCCTTTCCGCCATCACACCTGTGCCCTCCACCTCCCCTTTCCGCCATCACACCTCTGCCCTCCACTCCCCCTTTCCGCCATCACACCTCTGCCCTCCACTCCCCCTTTCCGCCATCACACCTGTGCCCTCCTAGCCCTCTCTATTTAAAAGGTATCAAGGTTATCCATATGTAGTATTCTTCTTTCAAGTTTTTGACGTCCTTAAGGATTCCCAGAAAAGAACAAAAAGAGTACAGTACAAGACTTCCCTTGTGCCTCCCCCCGGAGATCAGCAAGTCGGTATTTTCTTCCGCTTGCATCCTTTTTCACAGTTTGAAATCTGAAGACATGTATCTTTTCCCTAAATATTTCAGTGTACAGTTCCTGGAGATAAGGGCGTTCTCTTCCACAAGCACAGTGTCATTATCAGGGTCGGCATTGCAGATGGAGTCTAGGCTTTTCCTGGGCAGAACACATTCACACTTCTCAGAGCGGAATGGAAAGCCCAGGTTACATGCTGTGTTCGTTTATCCTGCTTTTAGTCTCCATTAACAGGGGACCGATCCACAGTGATGGGTGTTTCGTGGCATTTACACTTTGCAGAAGCATAGGCTTCCTCGTTCCTCACCTCCAGACCTGCCTTCTTATTCATCTTCCTGGTCTCTCCTCTAACCACAAGCAGTTCTGTATCCCCTGCATGAAGACCCGCTATGTCCCTCTGCTGTTTCCATTATAGTCCAGGGGGGAAAGAAAAAAAAAGACCCTAAGCTCCCACTGGCTTGAGGTTAGCTTTGGAATTTAATCCAACTCCACATTGCTGGTCCCCAGTACAGACCCTCCAAGGTGAGCTTTCTGGGCTGGGGCCTGCAAGGATCTTACTCTAACAGGCTGTCAAGGGAGGCTCTTACCAACCAGGCTAGGGAACCAACCATAGACACAGTGACAACTACGTACAACCACCTGCTTTACTGTCTTCCACTTTGGGAGTAAGTTCCCCCATGGGGCTCACACATCTGGCTCACCTCCTTTCTGTCTGCGACACCTAGTAAAGCCCCTGGCACTTAAGAACCTGTTCCAAATGCACGTGTGAGTAGGTTACACAGCATATCTTCTGAGAGGTTTTTAGAGGATTTTAGAGTTTTGTTTAAAACAGGTTTCCTTAGTCAGTGAGTATCAGTGTGGAATTCTGGTAGTCACAGGTACAAAGATACAGTAATGTCCTGGCTACCCTCTTCTCCCTGTGGCTGTTTACTGTCTCTGCAGATGGTAGCAGACCTGTCAGCCAGCACAGGAAATGATCTACCCAAAGATGCCGAGTTCTGCACCAACAGGGAGCTCCCCAGGTCCTTACCTATACTGTTTCCTGATGCTGAGGGAAGGGAGTTAGTTAGTTGGTGAGTTAGCAAGTCTGTATCATGCCAGACCTCACTACCAAGTACTCATGGGGATGAAGCAGGGCCACTGTCACCCCAGAGCATGTGGAAGAGATGTGGTTATCGGCACAGGAGGTGATGTCTCCTGTTTCCAGTGAGAGAACAGTGCAGATAGAGTGGACGTCAGGTCCAAGGCCATTGCCCTCCAGATCCTGGGGTTGCCACACTCCAACAAGCTTGGTGAACTAGCAAGAGGAGGTTTGGTGCTGGGCTTTCAATGCCAAAGACAACAAGGACATTAGGATAACTTGTTGCCATCTTCAGAACTCCTTCAGATCCTTCAGTGTGTGGCTCTTGGAGTGCTTGCTCGAGAAGACTCAGCACAGACAGACTGTCCTCTGAGCTGCCATCACTTCTGTTGAGAAGGGGGGAAGGTTCCCAAAGTCAGGTTTGCAGTGCTGGGTCCCTGCTGGCAGTCCTTAGGATGGTGTCAATCTGTTTACAATACACATTGTGGCCCTAAAAGTCCATAGGTTTGTATTACTTCCCGAGACAGTGATGGGGGCTTGCTTTTAAGATGGGATGCATCTATACCCTGCCCGTCTCCTGGTTCTTTTGAAATGGTTTGACTCTAGCCATAGCATTATATTGTAAGAGTGGTTTGTTGAGGGTCTCAGTTTTAGTTTAGAACATCAATGAGACTGGCTTATCAGTGGTTAAAGCACTGGGCATACAAGTACGAGGACCCCCAGAACCCTCAAAACTCAGATGGACATGGTGACCCACTTGTAATTCTGGTGGTCAGAAGGTGGTGGGATTGCCACAGTAAGCTGGCCAGTCAGATAGCTATATTGACAAGCTCCGGGTTCAACTGAGAGAGCCTGCCTCGGTGAATAAGATGGTGAATGACTGTGGAAGACTTCCAGTGTCAACCTCAGGTGTGTGTGTGCGTGTGTGCACGCGTGTGTGTGTGCACGTGTGTGTGTGCGCATGCGCGCACGTGCGTGTGTGTGCGTGTGTGTGTGCGTGCACGCGCGTGTGCGCTTGCGTGTGTACGTATGTCAAGAGGAGCTCCATTTAGTGAGCCTCCTCATTGTGCTAGGAGCCTGCACAGGCATTCTTGCCAGAGTACAAATCCAGCCCTGTTGTTTCTGTGACATTGGTCTTCAGTCATCTATGCATCTATGTGTGTCACCCAAGAGCTTGGTTAAATGACCAGCTGAGAGCAGACATGTACCAGCTGCTGCTGCCCTTTCTTCAGCATCCCAAAAGAAGAAAGGGACAAAGAGATGGTTCAGTGGGTGAAGTGTTTGCTGTGGACACTTCATAAAAAATGAACATAGTGGCTTGTACCTGTATCCGCAGTGTGAGGGCGGGATCCCTGGGGTTTCTGGCTAGTCCTCCTCACCCATTAGTGAGCTGAATTCCATAAGACCTTGTCTCAGAAAATGAGGTGGAAGGAACAATGAAGATGTCCAAAGTTAACCTTGGCCTCTGCACGTGGCGTGCACAGGTAAAGAAAGTGGGGCAGGTAACTGCTGTACATTACGTCTTTGTTACGTGCCAGGTGCTAGAGCGTGCATGCCACACGGCTTCATCCAGCTTTCTCCTGGTCTGTCCCCCTGGTCTGCTCATCTGACCTTCAATTCTAACATGAGCCTTTCCCAAAGCCATTGTCTGCAGGTGACATCATCAGGGACTGAGTCAGAAAATTTTCTTCACAACTTGGAGATGTGAGCACCAAATGCTTTGATCCCAGCAGATAGGATTTTGTGGTACTGTCCAAACAAACGTCCTGTGATGTGCTCTCTCCCCAGATCGGCCGTGGATTTGGAACATTCCCTATGTCAAAGCACCCGATACACATGGCAACATGTGGGTGCCTTCTTGAGACAAGGTGCTGTGAAGTCTGAGTGTAAAACATTGAATGTTCTTGTTTGTACCAAATGTTCACCTGCCTTAAAATCTTCTTATTCGCACCCATACAAAACCCTTTGCAAAAGTCAGTTTTGGTTATGTGTCTGATAGTCATTGTCAACATTCTCACTAAGAAAGAGAAGCGTTATTTTCTTAATTCACTTTTGTATGTTCTTGGGATGGAGATATTAAACTTCATAGTGTTTAAAATGTGTGTGTGCCTGGAGTGAAATGACCAATCCCCAGCAAGCATGCAGAAAGCAGGCATGGTGGGGCTGGAGAGATGGCTCAGAGGTTAAGAGCATTGCCTGCTCTTCCAAAGGTCCTGAGTTCAATTCCCAGCAACCACATGGTGGCTCACAACCATCTGTAATGAGGTCTGCTGCCCTCTTCTGGCCTGCAGGCATACACGCAGACAGAATATTGTATACATAGTAAATAAATAAATATTTAAAAAAAAAAAAAAAGCAGTCATGGTGGCTGTGCACTCGGAACCCAGTGTGGGTGATGGGATCCCTGAGTTTCGCTGGCTGGACAGCCTAGCCCGGATGGTGAGCTCGGGGTTCAGTGATGGTGCCAGCTTGACTTCGTGTTGGGTGTTTCCACCATCCATGGCCAGAGATGCTCTTCCTTCACCTGCTCAGGGAAAGAACAGAAGCATTTGTTCTCCCCACTTTGACAATTTTCAATCTTCCTGGATCCCAGGAAACAACCTGCTATGGAAGAAAGCTAGGAAAACCACTACAGCATTCGCCAGCCCTGCTCCAAGATACCTAAGATCCCTGTCCATTGACCCTCCAGCTGCAAGACTAAAGCGATGATAGTTCTGCTGCAGGGAGTCCGCACCAGCACCTGGAAGGCAGACATGACGCTTGGGATCACAAGTGCACAGCATGCACAGGCTGAAAAAGGTGTGAGGCTTTTCTGCCATGCCTGTAGCTAAGCATTATGGTGATCCTCAAGTCCCTGACTTGCTTTGTCTGCTTGCCATAGATAGGTCCTCTGGTCACACTGTTCTAGACCAGTGGAACCCTGAAGAACCACCCAATAGAGGCTCTATAGAGTGGCCTGGGAGAAACCACAGTGGTAACATTGGAGACCATCTGTACCCAAGAGATTTGCTCTCCAAGTGTCTGCAGACCTGTGCCACTCACAGACACAGGCTCTGCAAAGAGCAAGTCTGAGCCCGGCCAGCCAGGTAGCATTGGCGCTGCGTGTTTTCTAGACACAGATGCTAGCACACATTACTTCCTAAGTAATGCCCCGAGAACAACAGAACACGTGGTCACCTTTACTATATGGGCTTCTTCTTCTTCTTATTATTATTATTATTATTACTATTATTATTAATGGAAGTAGCTAATTTACTCAAAGTGCTACAAAGATGGACCACAGACCTTGCTGCTAAGTAAGGTTCCTGAGGAGATTGTGCCTTGTTATTCACAGGGTCTGCCTCGACTGCCCCAGCCGAAGAAGCCCTTTCTACCTGTGTGGAGTATAGGGCCCCTTCTGCCTATTGTTCCCTCCTCCTCTCACTCTTTGAGACCTCTCAGAAGTACCATACAGTGACGTTGTTCTACCTGCCGAGGCCCCCCGCACAATGAGAAACAGCCAGCTTCTGCTTCTCTGTAACCGCCAGCACAGACTGCTCAGAGGAGTTTCCCACATGTGAAGGAGCAAGAAACCACAGCTTGGGAGGCTGTGTTTTTCCACGTGACAGAAACAGGTCGTGCTTCCTGAGGTTCCCTCTATCTCCAGTGCTTACTCACTTTTACCCGTCAGCCCCCGTGCCACAGATGAGGAGCCTGGGCTTGAAGGAAGTCAGCAGCGGGATGCCCCTCATGAGGCAGTGGACCCGAGACTCAGTTCTGCCCCTTGGAAGCTCATCCATCCTGCACCACACCGTGCCTGCCACACAGGGCAAGCTCTAGCTTCCTGTTCAGCAGTAGATGTTAGATCTGAACAGAAATTTAATGTTGTATGGCTTTCAAGTAAACATGGTTTCTACACAAGACTTGGTGTGCTTAGAATAAGAATCTGGGGCCGATTTTGTCATGTCTTTTTTATTCGCCAGAAGTTGGGTTTCTAGACTAAAAACACCCTTACTATGAAACCGTTTCTGAATGATGTAGGTGTTTTTGTGATGTTTTATTCTTATGTGTCTGTGTAAGTCGGAAGAGGACATTGGAGCCCTTGGAGGTAGAGTTTCAGGTGGCTGGGAGCTGCCTGACATGCCTGCTGGGAGCTGAACGCCAGTCCTCTGCAAGAACAGTCAGCTTCTCTTCCCAGGAACATCTCTCTAAATGGTTTTTTTAAGTCATTTCAGGAGGGCATTTGACTTTCTTTCATCACCAAAGAATTACCGCCACCATCCCTTTCTGAAGAATTCAAGAAAGAACTTGAGAACACACGCCTTTGATGGAAGAATACCTCAAAATGAAGGTTTACATAAGCACTCTTATTTATATTTATAGGTCAGCATTATATTGATGGATTGATAGGAATTACAAAATGATATAAGTCTACATAAAAGCTCACTGACAGGAATAATATAGCCTAACCGTACTATGAGGATGAATCTAGATTTTTATCGATTATATAATAAGAGCATGTTATGCATAGGTCAGATCCACTCATACTGAAGTGTTTGGAAATTATCGTGGTAGCTTGCTTGTTTCAAGTAATAATCTCAGGTGCGAGAATATTACGAACTGCCTGTTTTTCCTTTCAGACAAGGCCTTCCTGTGACTCACAGGAAGCTTACTTGACTACCGTTTCTTTTTATGTTTCTGTCAACTAGTACATTATGACTCACGTAAGAGTCACACACAAGCCGTTTGCTCCTGGGAAATGCCTGTAGTGACCCAGCGTGGCTCAGGTTGTCATCCTAGAGCCCAGGCATGCCCACTGGTCCCCTGAGCATTGCCATCCACTGAGCTGACTTCTAGGAACTGTTGTCTGTGTCATGTCTAATCTTCCTAATGATCCTATCAAAGAGGCTCTCTGAGTCTCATTTGTAGGCGGAAAAACTAATCAGATTATTCATCCAAAACCACATAGCTGGGATTCGAACCCAGACATTGTAGGTCCCATGTAGCAACTGTGGTGGGTGTCCCATGCTCCAGCCAGGAACAGGCTTTGTATACCTGTGATGTAACTACAGATACAAAACCGTGTGCCTTCATCCGCTGTAATAACAAATTATGGTTGGCATAGCAGAACCAGCTAGCAGCACATAAACCCAAACACTAAATGCCACATTAGTATGCAGGCCTGAGTCGCTGAATAATTTAAGGCAGCCCAGCTTCCTGCCGAGCAGGGCTCCGCTTGGGTTAGAGTGCAGAGGGCTGAAAACTGCACTGTTGAGTTTGTTCTGTTATATTCTCTGACTGACGCCTGCTGCTTCTCCCGACCTTCTAGACCAAAGTACAAGGTAGGAAAAATTGGATCAGATGTCAGATGCTGGAGAGAGAGCAAGAGGCAGCCCAGGAAATTAGGTCTTGGGGTACTAGCAAAGTCAGTGACATGCAAATGGCGGTGAAAGCTTTCTAAGTCTGAATAACCCGGATCCTAAGTTTTGCAGAGTTCGAAGCAGTCTGTCTCAAAGCAGAATCCAAGCAATGCATGAAAGCAGCTCTTCTCTTTAGACAGGGAGACGCCCCATTGAAACTGGTCTGGCATAACACACATTGCTAGGGGCAGTGTCTCCCGTTCACCCTGTAGCAAGGTTTTCATAGAGCTCTTTTGCTGTTTATTAAGGAGGCATTTGGGCCAAACTGCTTTTCCAATACTCACAAGTGAGAAAATGCTCGGGATAAGATGGCCGCAAAGGCATTTGCTGGGGGTCAGTTTGGTCATAGGTGACTGTATTCATCTCTCCACACTGTGGCATGGGAGAGTCTCTTCAGCACTGGAGAGAAACACCTAACATTCAAGGTCACCCAGCTAGCTAGTGGACAAGAGCTGTGCCTCATCTCTGGTGTTGGATCAGTCCTGGCCAAGCCAGCACACGTCCCTTTCTATGCCCAAGGACACAGATGATGTCATGGTATGTGCCTTGCATGGCTGTCTGGTCTTGGGTTTAGAAATTATCATAACAACTGAATGCTGATTGTGCTCAGATAATTGATTTTGCTGTAATTTAGGAGGCCTTGTAATCACCCGCCATTCTGTAACCTTTTTTCAGTATTTTAATGAAGGGCTGCCTGAGGCAGGGTCCTTCCGTAGTTACAGAAATGGGGTTAATTAGTCGAAGCGTTGAGGAAGGCTGAGGGTGCTGAAGCCAGGGCATCAGCAATGCGATGAAGATGTGTCCAGGCCTTGGCTCTGCTCTAGAACCTGACCACCATCCTCACAAATGCTCTCTCCTCCCGGAGGCTGAAATTCCCCCAGAATCCCATCTGCCTTCAGCTAGCCTTTCCAGAGAAAGGAAACTGCTTCCCACACAGCTCTAGCCAGAGGGAGGCCCGGGTGCCCCAATGGACCAACCTTGAGCCACCAGGACATTCAGTAAATTGTAGGTGTGTGTAATGCAGACGCCGGGGTGGCCCTGGTAGAGAGGGAAAGGGCCTGAGAGACTGCGGAGCAGTGGAAAGCACGGTCGGTCTATTCCAAGCAAGACATCCAGCTGGGAGACGTACTGACACCGCCCTGGAGGCCTTTTTATGTCTGCTTTGAAGAGTGTACACGAGCTTACAGATGTATTCAAAAGTCCAAATTTTCAGGGGTGGGGGGACTGTGTAAATAGATGAGCCCTGTATAATCTGGACATTCTAGAACTAATTTTTCAAACTGGGGGTTGCAGCCCACTTTGAATCATGAAATCCCTGTTAGTTTAATCAAGTCAGTGGGTCACAGCCAGAACTTTTGGATGAGATGGTGTAAAAAAAAAAAAAAAAAAAAAAAAAAAACTTGTATTGGTTTTCGTTTATATGCCTGAGTGTTTTCGGGATTCCCATATAAAATGTATTCCTTTCTAGGTTCTCTGATTCACCCACCCTGAATTGACAGTCACCCTGGCTAAGGCTTGAGAGTTGACACCTGGAGGTGACAGCTTCAAGGCCCTGGAGACTCATTAGAGTTGTCTAGCTTTGTCCCTTCCAGCTGTGAGAGCTTAGGCAAGTCCCCTAATGCCTGCATCTTACGCTCATCTGTAAAGTAAGGCTAACAGCTGGATAGTTATAAAAGCGGATCGACTGGTATCCTGGGTGTGACAAGAACTCATCAAAGTTGTGAAGATTCTGTTCCTGTTCATTGTAAGCAAGCCTGGACCAGGCAACTTTTGGAGCCCTTAGAACTTCACGACCAGCAAAGAGAAGGAACCCTGCGCCCCCTGGAAACCAGCACTCTTCCACAGCACTGACCAGACTACTGACCTGTGCTTGCTTCTGGAAAATAGAGATTTGAGAGTCCCCGCTGCTGCAGTGGATCCATCCCCAAAGTGGGGGCTTTGTTCCTGGAAGTCTTGTCTCCAGGCTCAGCTTTAGAAGCTCCTGAGGGTCAGCGTGGAACAAGAGGCAGCAGTGAGCTGATGGCTAGGGAAGGGGGAGAAGTAGAGGTGAGGACCTAAATATGTAAAGAAAGACAGGCTAAAAGCAGACGGATGGGAAATGATATTATGCAAATGCCAGGCATAAGAGGGCTGTCGTGAGTGGATTGGTATCACATAAAGGCCTTTGCAAAGCAGATGGTATACACCAGACATTTCACACAAAACAAACGCCACTACGTGAAGAGGCTTTAGCGAGCAAATGAGATGTGTTTCCTTATAGCTTCAAAGTGCTTGAGACAACAAAGGGTAGCTGGTGGCTTTAAATACCCCTGCTTCACCAGTCCATAGAATTAGCTAGAACAACAACAAAAAAGAGCTAAAAAGCACTTGCAGATGCTTTTACCAGGTTCACGTAGTCAGAGCCCTGCGTACCTACAGCTGCAGAAGGCTTGAGCTTGCCAGAGCATTTGACTAGTGTTCACTCCATCTGACGAGATCTCTTAAAAAGTTTCTAACTACATGTGAAATAAAAAAAAAGATGAAAATCAAGCAAATATTTGTATATGATTCACAAGCCAAAGAAGAAAAATATTTTTGCAAGAGATTATGATTCTTTGTGGATTTTTTTTTTTTTTTTCGAGACAGGGTTTCTCCGTAGCTTTTGGTTCCTGTCCTGGAACTAGCTCTTGTAGACCAGGCTGGCCTCGAACTCACAGAGATCCGCCTGCCTCTGCCTCCCGAGTGCTGGGATTAAAGGCGTGCGCCACCACCGCCCGGCCTGCAAGAGATTATGAATATAACTTCCTCTACAATTTTTATAGTGTAAGTAGCATTGAACAGGAAAACTCACAGCTTTGGAGTAGAAGAAATGTTAGTGAAAATGAGTCCATCCCAGAAGAGGGGCACGATGGTTTTAAGAGCCAGAGGGAAAAGATGTCTGTGGCAAAACAGCATTTGCCAAACATGGTGACTCACCTGGGACCACGTGCACAAGACCAAGCCAGCCAAAATCCCAGCGTGGATGAAAGGGGGCTCATAAAGTTCCACCCCTCTCCGAGGAGCTATTGACAATTGCTAAAGGGAAGAAAAGTTGGTTTTCTTCAGGATGGAGTCCCTGAGGCTACTCATTCTCTAGTACATGGTCCCGTGCCATTCACATATAAGCATGGTATTCTGTCTCTGTCTGTCTGTCCGCCTCTGTGTGTGTGTGTGTTTAAGAACACATGAAGTTGGGAGGAAAAGGTGGTGGAGCAATAGGGGAGAAATTGGGGGGGAGGAAGGGAATGGGTATTGATTTGACCCAAACATATTATATGCACTATGAATATTAAAATCCTTTTTTAAAATATAAAGGCCTAAAATCTTGCCACATGCAATAAGTAGCTAGGGGAGGAAAAAAAAAACCCAAGAAGAAGTAGGAAAATAAATATGCAGTACAAAACCAAGTAGAATTCATCTCAAAAATGCCATACTATAAATGTTCGTCCTTTTTAAAGTTTATCCTTAACCAAAAATAAATTGATTGAATACAACATACTAACAGAACAAAGAAGAACTGTAAGATTATTATAAATAACACAAAAGACATTGACAAAATTCAACAGTCATCTCTGCTTCATTTAAAAACTAAAAAAAAAAAAAACCTAGAAATAAAGAGAAATGTCTCCACCCTCAAAAAGTAACTATGGCCAGGCAGTGGTGGTGCACACCTTTAATCCAGGACTCAGGAGGCAAAGGCAGGAGGATCTCTGAATTCGAGGCCAGCCTGGTCTTCCAGGACAGCCAGGGCCATATAGAGAAACCCTTTCTTGGAGGTAGAGGGAGGGATATGCCAACCCCACAACTCACAGTATCTGTAATAAACTGAAGGATTCACTCTTAAATCTTAGCAAGAATAACCTGCTCCCAGCTCTTCTGTGTCTTTTATTTCTTAGATATTGCAATAAGAATTTTTTTTTTAAACTTAAGAAAGCAAACCTCCACTTCAGTACATAGAAACTCCTAAAGGACCGGCACAACTAATGAGTGAACACAGCAAGCTTATAGAATGCAACAGCAAACATGAAAAGATGAAACATTTGAATTTCTATGTTCAGTACAACAAGGACAAAAATAATGCTTTAGGATAAATCCAAAAAGGATATGCAAGATCTCTGTACTGTAACAACTAGGGAGATCTATATATGTGCAGAGATAGCCCTCATTCATGAATCATCGGAATACTGCTTCTTCCCAAACCAGGTTGACATAGTCCCGATCAAGACAACATAGACTTTTTTCTGTCTGTGTTAAAAATATCTGTCTCAAGAACCATAGTTCTTTGATTTTTAAAATGGAAACAGCTTATTACCTGCTAAGAAATAGTGAAAAGGAGCTAAGTTGGAAACCTTGCATTTCTTGACTTCAAGACCTATAAAACAATTTGAATGCTTTTTACTGGCATAATGGCTGAATAAATGAGTAATGAACAAAATAAAAAATTCCTGAAGTAAATGCATTCCTGCTTTCCTTCTCAAGAAGTGGCGTAGAAAAAGGTGGATATCCTTTTGAACGAGATGAACCTTAAGTCTGACTTGCACAGTAAAGAAACAAGCTGGATCTACACTGCACAGAGCAGCTATGCAAACTGGGGGAGAGAGATAGAACACTAACCTTCGAAGCAGCAATAATCCCTTAATGCACGAAGGAGTATCAAACCTTGCAGGCTGGAGAACGGGACTTTACCAAAACTAAAATCTCTTGTCAGAAAACGTTTTCAAAATCAAATGGGCATGCCAGAGATGAAAAAATAATATTCAAAATACATGTCTAAGAAAGGACTACTATTCTAGATATATAAAACACTACACCTCAAAAATAGGAATCAATTTTTGTATATGTGCATGCACGTGTGTTGTATGTATGTACACATGTGTGCATGTGGAAGCCAGAGTTCAACACTGGGTGTCTGAGTTGCTCTCTATGGTTTTTTTTTTTTGTTGTTGTTGTTGTTGTTTTGAGGCAGGGACTTTAACTGAACCTGGAGCTCACTGATCTGGCTGGGAAGACTGAGTGACTAGTCAGAGTCACCTGTCCCCACCTGCCCAGAAATGCTGGGATTTCAGATATCAGCCACCATGTTCATCTTTCTCTGTGTGTGTTGGAGATCTGAACTCTAGTCGCCTGTGTGATGAGCACTTTACAAACCGACCATCTTCCCAGCCCCAAGACCATTTTTTTTTAAAGTGGGCAAACTCTTCCAACCATTTACAAAGGGATATAAATGTCCAGTATGCTAGGTATCCAAAAAACACAAAACCTCAATGAGATAAGTTTATGCTAGGGATATGGGCACTGCATTGTTAGGAGAGCAGTTTCTCACAGAGCTAAACGCATCTATGGCTTGGCACTTCACTGCAAACGCCCCAAAGATGAGAAGCATCCACAAACCGTTGACAAGAACGTTGATAACAGTTTTATTTTGTAATTGAATTCATGTTTCCTAACAGTTTTATTTATGATAATGAAATTTTCTCACTTTCCTTGTTTCTGTCACAAAGCATGAATAAAATTTTGGCATATCCAATAAAATGATAACTGGGACCTATAACATGGATATGCTTCAGAAACACACTCTACACAAGAAACATGATTGTGGTTCCCGTGAGTCCGAAGACCCAGATAGGTAAAACCAAGTTCTATAAAGAAGAAATAATCCATGGTAGAAAAAGAAAAATCAGACCCGTGGTTACCTCCACGGGAATGTGGGTGAGGATGTGCTGGAAAGATATTTGTGGGAGCTTTGATGGCACTTAGAAGATGAACGAGGTAGACTGTGTTTTGGCCCCCAAAGATGTACATATTTGTCAGAACTCTTCAAATGGTACATTTGCATGTTACTGGATGCAAATTTTACCACAAAAGCAAAAATCTAAGTATGGAACTCATAACAATGACCAGCACTGGGTGAAGATGGGGTAAAAGTGTGTGAGTGTCTACAACCTTTCAAAACACACCCTAACCAAATGGATTGATGGCTTAAAAGGGACAGAGGTTTACTATCAAGTCTAGTGAACAGTCACTAATAAATCTAGGTGATGGTATGTGGTATCATTGTGGAAATCATTCAATTTTGATGTACTTGAAATGTTTCCTGAACTATCAAAGGTAATTGGGATACTCACCCTGGGTGTGTGCTCAGTCGCCTCTAAAGTTCTTCCTCCCCAGGAGACATGCAAAATGAATCAATCGCCGGAGTTACTTCATCAAAATCATTTGCATCTACTCAACAGAACTGCAAGTCTTTCTAGTTCTGTTTCTGGCGAGTATCGTGGGTGGGTCTCCTGGGACCACTCTCTCCATAGGCGGAGAAACTCTATTTAGATCGCGGGTGGCTGTGAATCCATTCCTTCACACAGATATATCCGCTCCCCTGTGCGGATATCAGTGTGCTAATGAATAACCTGCTGGGGACCAGGTGAGTCTAAAGGGCACGCAGCGCCCTCTTCTGGCCTCTGACGGACCCACGCAGACCATTGAGGCTCTCGACCTTGCTCGTGAAGCAACCACTCCAGGGATCTGTTCACCGGGGTGCGAGCATCATCGCTGCTCCGAGGTTGGCCTTCAAAGCTGGCGAGCGCGGCAAGAGACTGGCCCTGGAGCCGAGAGGCGAACACGGGGTGGAGTCGCCGCGGATGACAGCGGCAGGGCTACACCTGTTGCAATGTTAGCACGCCCCACAGAGAAGGCAGCACTGGGCACGGACCTCTGCTCCCAGACCCACTGGGCAGGGCAGGGCCGCTTGAGAAGGGGAGCCAGGGATCATTTTGAACCCACAGAACAGGTGCGTTTGGAGGGGGACCCGAACGCAGTGGCGTCTCCTGCGCCCGTTGCAAGTTGGGGTCTCTGGGTGGGTTCCCCAGCGGTTCGCCGGAGAGCCTTGCTGCTTGGTGTCTTGCATGCGGTAGATAGGAGCTCTCGGAGCTGAGCTCTTGACTGCGCAAGAACTACAGAGCCAAGTGAGTCAAGGCCGAGTAGAAGAGATGGAACCCTTCTGGTCGCTGTCCTTGGCCGGTTCTCTGAAAGATGGGCTGGCAGGGCCTGCACGTGGAGACAGAGAACGCCCTGTGAAGGGCCTAGAGGCCGAGGGCGCTCTGATTAGGAAGGTTGCCTGGGAGGATGCTCCTAACTTCCTTCACTGTTCCAACCTCCCCCTCTGCTCTCCTCCCCACAGCGGTCCGCCCTCGTGCTGCCGCGGAGCCTGTGTGCCCGGGCGACATCCAAGTCGGTGGCAGATCTACCTCTCCGCCCTGTCCCTCCGTCCGCTCTTGGCCCAAACCGGTCCCAGCCCCTAAGTCCTGGTGCATCGGGAGGATAGAAGATCGGCGGGACAGTCACTAATACGCACCGCAGATGCATCTGAAGAGGCACGGAAGACAGCGGACAGAGCTTGGAAAGCGATGGTCCAAGGAACCCGGACCTTGATGCTCAGCTTACCCACCGATTCTGTCTGAGCCCACGGCCTTTTCTTCAAGACGAGTTCAAGTTCTCTGGAGTTTGCCTTGAAGGAGCGCCACGCCCCCTCCCCAATCTGAGCAGGATCAGGAGGCCGGGTGAATCCCGGGCGCCCGCACCCTCTTACCGAGCCAAAGCAGACTCTGCGCCCCAACGCTCTGATCTTCGGCCTTAAGGAGAACTCCAGGGCGGACTGGGAGGCGGTGGGGACAAAGCGGATTCGAAACCACGAGTCCAGGCAGACGTGCGGATCTGGTGCCACAGGGACAGTCAAGAGCAGCAGCCTGGAGATCCACGCTGCTTGGGGGAGCGCGCTGCGGGCATGGGAGAGCCGGCACGCGGAGCGGGCTAAGGGCCGGTAAAGCGGGATCCTCCCAGGGCGTGGGCACGAGTCCGCGGGCGGTGGCCCTCGCGGGGTTGTCTTTCAGTGCCATGGCCGGCCGCAGTTGTGGCTGTGGCCCGGGCCACCTGAATGAGGACAACGCGCGCTTCCTGCTGCTAGCAGGGCTCATCGTGCTCTACCTGCTGGGCGGCGCCGCTGTCTTCTCGGCGCTGGAGCTGGCACACGAGCTGCAGGCCAAGCAGCGCTGGGAAGAGCGCCTGGCCAACTTCAGCCGCGGCCACAACCTAAGCCGCGAGGAGCTGCGAGGCTTCCTCCGTCACTATGAGGAAGCCACCAGGGCGGGCATCCGCATGGACAGCGTGCGCCCTCGCTGGGACTTCACGGGAGCCTTCTACTTCGTGGGCACTGTGGTGTCCACCATAGGTAAGTGAGCCGACTGGTCACTCGATGACTCTACTTTCTGACCGAGCATCTCAGCCTTGGGGGTTCTCCCCCAGGTGCCCGGTATTGCACCAAATGAACCCTCTGAGGCTGATCAACAGGTGAAAATGGATCCCAACGTCACCTGGGAAGTTATAAAATTACTCCAGACCTCTGGACAGACCAGAACCAGCCGCTGTTTGTTAACCAGTCCCCGAGGATTTGAATAGTTCTTAAATTGAGGAAGCACGGCCCTCAAATTGAGACAGCCAGTCTGGTTTAGGAGACAGGGCTGAGTTCATGAATTCGGGGGTGGAGGGTAGCGCTACACAGAGCTAGAGAGCTCGGAACGTTTCGGGAGTGTTAACTATGCACAAGCCACTACTTAAAGGAAAGCCCACGATTTCAAACTTACAGAGAGACGCTCCGAATTCCAAATTGGGAACTCAAAGAACCAAGAGGAAAGTGACCTTGGCTCTAGCGTTTCTAGGAATGGAGTTTAGGGACTAAAGGGGTATCCAGTGCATTCTAGAACATAGGCGGCTTGCATCCAGAAGTCCCCAAGCTGGCTGAGCTTGAACTAGAGGAAGGACTGCTAGGGAGGCCGGGTGACTGAGGAGATGGAGCAGGAGCAAGTAAGAAGTTAGCATTTTACCAGGAGGCGGCTGAGCCGCTGGGAATTCTGAGAACGGTGTGGCAGGCTACTGGCAAGTGATACCGTTATAGTCCTGCAGAATGAGGTGGGAATGGATTTGTGTGGCACACTCCCAAGGCTGCTCACTATTGAAGTCTAGTTGAGTAACGAGCGACTGGGAGAAAATAATGCAGAAGTCCCGGGGAAAGAGGCGTGTGTGGGAAGCGGGACTCTGAAAGGCTGGAAGAGGAAAGGAGGAGCACAGAAGTCACTGCGGGAGCTCAGGGCAGCAGCTACATGATGGATTCTCAGCAGCCAGGGTCCCTGCACTTTCTAGAGTAGTAGCTTGCCCGTGACACGGATGACAGGCAAGCCACCTTGAGATGTCATTACACATTCTGCTAGGGGAAAAAAAGCCCTTACGCTGAAGCCTCGAGCTATAGACCTAATTAGCCCAGAAAGACATCCCGAGAGTAGCCAGGAACGCATAAGTTCAACTGTCCCACCAAATGGCAAGGCAGAAAGGACCCACCTGACCAGCACATAACAGCTGTACTCAAGCGCCTTATGCTAACCTGCCCAGCTTATAAGTCCATGTCATTCTGCCTTCTTCCCCGGAGGTCCACTGTTTGACGCTTAGAAAGAGGAACGATTTTCATTTCTGTAGTTCCACGTTTGGGGCTTTTTCTGAGTGTTTTCTTCCTCCTGCCTGGGCTTAGAACATCATTTCCCACCCAGATCCCGTGAGGGGGGTTCAGCTGTCCGTTTCCAGGCACAGCAGTTCTGCTGCACTGTAAGATGCTTTTCTGTGGGAACAATGGCAGGGCACCTTAGAGTTCTAGCTGAGGAGCCGTGGTTGTGGGGAACAGGAGCTGGGAGCAGCCAGTGAGAGTCTGTGCTCACACAAGGGAGAGCAAGCAGCTCTTTCCTCTGAGACACACTGCCTAAGATTTCCCAGGGACGCTCAGACTGGCCATTCGCAGAAGCCTGGGATCTCATCAGCTACTCGTTTCCTACCTGGAAATGTTCAGGGCTATGGCATTAGAGTTCTGTCCAGGACATAGTTCTCGGTCTCATTACCCTCATTCCAGTTCTTTCCTGTGTTCGCCTGTGCTGGTTGTATCAGAATGACTTCTTTAAGTTCAGAAATCCGGGGATTTTTCTTCTTTTTCTGAATTGTAGTCTGTTATCTCTTCCTTTCTACGTTTTTCTCTATGAAGTAGTGGATTTGATGTGACTGTAACCCAAATGATTCTTGAGGTCCTGTGTAATGCTCCTTTCAAAAAAGACTGGTCTAATAGCCAAAGCAATGGAAAACTAAATTCAATGTTTCCTTGACTCTTTAAGGTAAAACCGCCCTGTTATAACAAAGGAAATGCCCCTCTTTTCTCCCTGTGGCTCTAGGGCTTCTTATTCCTACAATCTTCCCAGACATGAGTTTACCGCCATTCTGTCCTTGCTGGTCCCCTCTTGCTGTCTCTTTTTGCTCTGTTATTAAAATTGACGTGACTCTCATGGTTCTTTTAACTTATTCTCATGAAACCCATTACCTGGAGTCTCCAAAATACAGGAGAGTCTTGCGAGGTGACTGGCATCAGCCCTGCCCCTTGAAACCATAGAGAGAAAGACAATGATTGGTGTGTGACCTCTTCAGTCTGTGGGGAGGACACTGCCAGCACCCAGTCCAGCTAATGACAAGAAGCCCCTGTCAGAAGGACACATCTATTTCCCCTGGCACTCTGGTCTCCCCTCCCCACCACCACTGTTTTCCCCTTCCCCATTCCTCACCCCAGCCCTGTTTCCTTCTGAATTGCCAGGCATTTGTTTTTCTAATACTGCTTCTTCAATGCCCTCCCATTGTATCCACCGCACTTATCCAGAGGGGCGTGGCTTTAGATACCTAATAAAACTCTGGGGTTCTTGGTCTTGATATCTGACCACATCTGCTTCTCTTTTACTGATCACCTCTCCTTGGGGGATGGAGGCCACTGGCGTTTAGTGGACCAGAGATCAGACCACAAGTGGAAATGAGTATAACTTGGGGTACAGGGCTTTAGGGGGCACCTGGGCCCTGCAGAGAGCAGCCCTACCACAGGCAATCTCAGGATAACATCCAGATGCTACCATGCTGACCAGACAGCTGTGAGGACTTGCAGGCCCCAGATGAACTTTGGTCAAAGGAGAGAGCATTCTGGGCTTCCTGCCCTTGGGATGGGAAGACAGGAAGTGTTGCATGCTTTTGCAGCCTCTTGATGTTGCAGGTTACTGTAGCCGAGTTCACACAGGATTCTCGGTCACCTTGGAGGGTGGCATATTTCCTGTTTGCACGCACACTTCTTCCCAAGGTAGGGAGATGCCTTCTCTCAGCTCTTCTGGCCCCCACGCCTTTTCATCCCAGAACACACACCATTCTCTTCTTTTCTTTCCTTTAATGTGATGTCCCACGCGCCTTCTTGAGACTTACATGTGTATCCATGAATGTGGGGGTCACTTAACTGTCCTCTGAGGGCTGAACACAGCATGTATCTCTCTGTGTGTTCAACTCTTACAGAAATCCCGTAGTACTGGCTACATGCTCCTGTGAAGTGAGGGTGGGGGGGAGGTGCCGAGGCTCAGTGAGCTTCTCTGTTGGGTTGAACGTTACTCAGCTGGAGGTGAGATGGCAAGCTAACCCTTAGAACTGTCCCCTATGCCTTTTCTTCCTTTGAGGCCCTTTTTTGTAGGAATAATTGGCCCCCAGTTAGACACTGCACCCCTTTTCCTCAGTTGTGGTGGTTTTTAGAGGCCCTAAAATAATACAGACAGTCTGCCTGGCAGACTTCAGGAAGGTTTATGATTCACCAGTGTCCGTTGGTACAAGGCAAGGTTTGAGTGAAACCTACCACGTAGATGAAGACTGGCACTTTCGGGCATCATGTTTCACAGTCCTTGCCAACTAAACATCTTCCCGGTGCCCATGATGGTTGACCATGTCTGTACACTATCCTCACTAGATCCCAAAGTCACTGACCTTTCCTGTTAGCTCTTAGCACATTGGTACCTTGGTACCTAGGTTTTCTGTGTCTTGGATTAAGCAGCTGCTGAATAACACAGTGATGCTGAGCCAACCCAGTGACCGCTGAAGTGGTTTTCAAACTGTTCTGAGGAGTTCATGGAGTACTCTATGCTATGCTAAGGTCGTTCCTCAGGGCTTAGGGCTCTCTTCCATTGTGATGGGATGACAGGAAGCTGCTCTCTCTCTCTCTCTCTCTCTCTCTCTCTCTCTCTCTCTCTCATGTGTGTGTGAGTGTGTGTGTGTGTGTGTGTGTGTGTGTGTGTGAGAGAGAGAGAGAGAGAGAGAGAGAGAAAGTATAAATCAATTGGATGAATGTTTATCTTATTCAACTACCTTCTTACTGTCTTGATTTGGGGGGGGTGTAGAAAAAATACTAATTTGATTGACAGGGTATTTTTCCTAATTCACATCCTTTCCATGGCTAAGATAAATATTCTCTCCCATTCTCTATGTAGCTGTTTAACTCATTTCAAATGTTATTCAGAAAGATTGCTTTTTAAAGTTTCTGTGAGGTTGGCACTATAATTATGCTTTGATTTATTGCTAAAATTATCACATAACGATCTGAGAATGTGCATGTTGTACAATTCTCTGTTTTCTTCTTTGAATGTTTCTTTGTGTCATGGAGCCTGTATATATTTGAGCCAGTTTTCCACTGTGTCACAGATTTCTGGAGCTGGAAGGAAGATTGACCCCCCCACCCCCCGCCGCCAAATCAGGCTTTAATTCCCGTAATCACACCAAAGACAATATTTTACTGTGTTTCAGGGCACACAAAGTCATCAAAAATTTTTGTAACTCTATCATTTGATGACTTTGCTTACCTTCATCAGGGTTAACTTTGTTCCCCTCTTCGTGCTTTATGTGCTAATGGCCGTCTTAACCATCTGCCCATGGAGCTGAAGTACTGCGTCATAGGAGAACTGCTTGTGGACCCGTGGACCATTGCTCTAGTGGGGTCATCAGTGGTTTTGATTTAAGTAACCACTTAGCGTGTTTTCGTACTGTTATTTTTAACTTTTTCCATGTGTATGAAAAGTTTGCACATTTAATATTTGGTCTCCTCTCTGCTGCCCCCCTTCATTCTCTCCATCCCTGGTTTATTATTTTTTTTTTGATTGTTTGTTTTTGGTTTTGGTTTTTTTGGGGGTTTTGTTCTTTCAGTGTTGATTTCCTACTCTGGTAGAGGAGTAGTTCTTTTGGTCATTTTAAGTATGATCAAGACAGAACTCAACTACCTGAGGCCAGAAGCTCCCTCTACCACCATTCTTCATGGTTGTAAATAAAGCTGAGATGTCTTTTCTGGACCACATA